CTAAATCTAATATTGTCACAGGCTTCCAAGTAGCTCTTATATAATCTCCTTCATTGGATACTTTCTAGAATGTTACTGGATATATTAATGGTGGTTCACTTAAGTCTTAAAGTGTTCCTTTTTAATCTTAAAATGCAATGCTGAATTTGGTGATTGAGTATCCTTGTAATTCCTCAGTCTAGATTTGAATATCTCTATACTCTGCTTTAATAAGGTTTTCTTCTCCATCCATCAGCTCCTGGATGAAGGTTTTGGGATGGCATTTAAGGTAGTCATCAATTTCATTATAGGGGAAGGGCATTTAAGATAGCCTCTCCACTATTACTTAGATGGGTTCATCCTTGTATATCTGTGGACATTTCCCTATAGCCAGATTTCTCTTTAAACCTATAATGCCTCTCTCTATTAAGGTATATCTTTTCTTGCTCTACTCTATTCTTCCCCCAACTCAATCTTCCTGCACCTTCATGTCTTCCTCCCCCCTCTTCTTCTTAGCTTCTCTTTCTCCTGACTATATCTCCCTTACCCCTGTGCTCCCAATTTGCTCAGGAGACCTTGTCCCTTTTCCTTTCTCTGGGGGAACATGTACGTCTTTCTTAGGGTCCTCCTTGTATCTAGCCTCTTGGAAGGTGTGGATTGTAGGCTGGGAATCCTTTGCTCTATGTCTAATATCCATTTATGAGTGAGTAAATACCATGTTTGTCTTTTTGTGGCTGGCTTTCCTCATTCAGGATGGTTTCTTCTAGTTCTATCAATTTGCCTGTTAATTTCAAGATTCCATTGGTTCCCCCTCCCCCCCAGCTGAGGAATACTCCATTGTGTAAATATACATTTTCTTTATTCATTCTTCACTTGAGGGGCATCGAGGTTGAACATAGTTGAACAGATGTCCTTACTATATGAATGTGCATCTTTTGGGTATATGCCTAAGAGTGGAATTGCTGGATCTTGTGGTAGACTGATTCCCAATTTCCTGAGGAAGCACCAAACTGATTTCCAAAGTGGCTCTGCAAGTTTGCACTTCCACCAGTAGAGGAGGAGTGTTCCCCTTTCTCCACATCCTCTACTTGGTGTTTTGTATTTTAGCCACCCACAGTTAAGCACTGAGCCAAATTCCTGGAATCCACTTGTAGAGAAGGACAAGTGATGAGCAAAGGGGTCAAGACCAGTCTGAGGAAACACACAGAAACAGTGGACCTCAATAAGTAGGAATTCATGGACACCAAGACTGACAGCTTGGAAACCAGCATAGGATGGAACCAGGCCCTGAACGTGGATGTCAGTTAGGAGGCCTGGGAATTCTATGGGGCTTCTGGTAGTGGAACAGCATTCCTAGTGTATGAATGGATATTGGGAGCCCATTCTCCATAAAGGGATAATCTCTCAGCCAAGACACTTGGGGGAGGGCATAGGCCCTGCTCCAAATGATGTGACAGACTTTGATGATCCCCCGTGCAAGGCCTTACCATTTCTATGAAGCAGAAGAGGGATGGGATGGGGGTTGGTGGGGGGCATGGAAGTGTGGGAAGGAAAGGGAACTGGAATTAATACATAAAATAAGATTGTTTCTAATTTAAGTAGATAAAAAATATTTTTATGGCCTGACACAGCACTCATATCAACCAAATTTTCAGAGATAAATCAAGAATTATCAAAATAACATCAAAGATTATCAAAATGATAATTAACAATATATGTCAATCCCAGTTAAGTTGCTTATCCCTTCATTTAATTGTCCCATTTTTAGCCATCCATTATCTAATCATATTCAGACCTAATTTTCTCTATTCTAGTCATGTTTTCCACTTTTTTTAGTGTGGAGGGAAACAACTCTTTTTTGACTAATCCCTTCTTTTAAGAATTTGCAATTGACTTACCAAGTCTGCTGAAAATGTCAGTCAGCTATGAGGCATAGCATGTCTGAATTAGAGAACTTTTGGTTGTGAGCTGTGCCAGCTCAAGAAGAGGGGCTCTATGAAAAGCCACAAAGCCTTCCAAGTTTGCGTGTCACCTGAAGACTGTTTAGAAATGCTACAACCAAACAATCTTACCCTTGCTGGAAGATTTTAGGAAAAAACGAAAGAAAACCTAACTGGTACGACAGAGACTCGGGGAGGAGGAATTGAGGAGGGAGTCCTGCCTGCAGCTCAGGCTTGGGCCTGGACAGTGGCCTCAAAGAGGCTTTTTAGTGACTGTGTACTTTAATGTTGGACACCAGTTGTAGCACAATAAATAAAATACCCAGAGACAGATATTGAGTTTCAGAAAAGCAAAGCAGCTAAGCCAGTAGATCTTACCTCTGCCCAGCTGAAATGGCAATCCACTCTCCACAAATCCTCAGATGCAAAAGGCTCTCAGATCATTTCTGCTACTCCTTATATTTCTTTTTCTGTCTATCCAGTCATATCCTTCTGTCTCCACCTCCCTAGTGCTGGAATTAAAGGTATTAAGATCACCTTTGTGTAAGCTGCTTCTGTTAGGACTGGATCACTTTCATGTAGTCGGCATGGCCGTGGACTAACAGAGATCTGTCTACCTCTTAGTCCTGAGTCCTGGGATTAAAGTTGTAAACCACCACTGCCTGGCTCTGTGGCTCCAGGGATTAAAGATGTGTATCACCTCTGCTTGATTTCCATAGCTTGAGGCTGGATTTGCTTTCTTAATCCTCAGGCAAGCTATAATAAATCATAAATAATATATCACTGTAATTTTCTTTACTCAAATTCTTCATTTAATTTTAAGTTATAAAATTATATTATATCATAGCAGTGCATAGTGTAATATACATTTGCAATAAAACATGCGAACACTATGCAATTTGGCACTGAAAAGTACACATTTCAATTTATACAAAATGCTAAAAAAGTAGCTTTTACTATAATAACTCTATGTATTATTTATTCTGTGGAACTCTCCTTCTGTGTAATCCTGGCTAATTCTTTTTCTTTAATGCCTCACCCTTGATATATTCCTACTCAAGAACCTTTACATGTAACACTCCCTTACACATTTTAAAAGGAATGATCCAAGATATATGAAATATTTTTCAAAGTAAACTCAGTGGAGTGCAAAAATCACACACTCTCTTCTGTATCTGGTGGGGGCAGTGTGTAATAAATTATCAGTGAAAAAGCACTTCCTTTTTTCTTTCTCAGAGACTAATTTACAAATACACAACTTAAAATTGTCATGGACACGGGTACAACATCATCTTTTGTGCAATTTTATTCATCTGGTGAAGTTCTGCGGCACTGTTTAATTCTCAGGATTCTCTGATATGGCAATCAGACTAAGGTGAGTCACTCTAGGTGAGTATATTGCTTTTATTTTGTCTTTCAAGCTGTCTGCATGTGCTGCTTTTGAATGATAGCTTATATCTCAACAAAACAATTTAAATTTTTGGAGACAAAATAGCTTCTGTGAAATATAGTATGTCTCTATTTTAAACAATAGTGTAAAGTGAATCTAGCTCTCCTTTCTGTATGATTTTTCTTTTGTATTGGATTTTTATTTTGCTGACTGCCTAGCTTCTCTCAAATCGAATTAATAAATAAGTCTTTGTTTTCTCACTATCGTAAAGTGCTTGATAATTGGATGGTTATATCATTTTGCTTTTTATGCTTAGTGACAAATTTGTTTTCAACAGGTGAATAATAGTTATTTTTATCTGTGCATGTGTGTGTACCTGTGTAAGAGTGATACTCTATATCCTTTTGTTTTATTTGTATATTCATATCTGTTGTGCAACTTTTTACTAGTTTTACAGGGAAAATGACAAGTAATCAATTGTATTTATGTGAGTAATGGTGAAAGATTTTTATGTGTTTCTTTGTAATGAAGTTGGCATTATATTTAAAGTATGTATTTATAGCCCTATCTGCAATTTTTCTTGCTTTTGCATGTCTAAAATCATTTAATTTTTTGCTGGAACTAGTTTATTTTTTTATAATTCTCACTATATTTGTCTATTGATTTACATATGTGGTTCTCAGACATTCAATCATCTAATCTGAATGATAATTTTCTTTTTTCCCCCTTATTGAAAATAAGATTTTTTTCTCACAAAACCTGCTTAAATTAAATTTTCCTTCCTTCCATTCCTCCCATTTCCTAACCACCCCCTGTCTTCTGGATGCACTCCCTTTCTGTTCTCATCAGAAAACAAATAGGCTTCTTCACACTGTTACTGCAGACTTAGGTATTGAAGTGTTTTGTAAATTTGTCTAGTGTGTCTGCACTCCACAGCTCTGCCTTTAAATTGATTGTAAAATAAGACACTCCTCATATTTTACCAGGCCTTTAAAATGAATGCATATGTGTACCAACACTTTTGGATATATACATTGAACCAATTTTTAGATAGCTTTTGAAAAAAAAATAAAACTTCATCTTAAAAATATTTACTTCAGTTTCCTCCCTTTATAAAACTATTCCTAGAAAAAATCATAGGTATCAAAAAAGTTTTTCACCCTTTTAAAATATTCAAAACTCAATCTTAGTAGATTTAAACATGTGCTTTAGTTTCCAATGAGATAGAAACTTTTCAAAATTACCTCACAACCCTGCAAATACAGCGTATTTTAACTCCAGTATTTTTCCAACTTGTCAACATGAAAGGGATTCGGATTTGCCACAGAACACATCCAGCTCCCAAATTCTCAACATAAAGAAGATTTTATTACCCCACAGGGGACAAATGGCGTGGGTGGAGTTCGGGATCAGGCAAAGAAAACAGCTGTTGTTTCTGCAGGAATGGTTTTTAGGAGAGCAGGGGAAGTCTGGGTTAGGATGAGTTGGTAAATCCTCATTGAACATTAGTCAATGCAACGAAAATACTAATTTTGATTGCTGAACCTTGATATTTTGAGAGCTGGACCTTGGTGCTCAGCCTCAGAAATGAATTAGGCCTAAGGGAGTTACGCTGGTGGATAGCTCTAGGGAATAATCTAATTATTTAGTAAGGAAGAGGGAAGGGGAGGGCATGACCTGAGAGCACCATGTTTGGAATGCATGGGACCTATTAAAGAGCCCTTCATTTCCAACTTATGGTTTTATTGTTTGGGTTGCCAAGTGTCAAGTAAGTGGGTGTCATTCTTGTGGCCACTTCCTATTGATCAGGGGCAGACACTAAGGAAAAGGGGGCTATAGTCTAAATGGACTGAAGGTGGGGATGACAAGGGAGGAGGGTGGAACAGAGAGGCTCAGGAGGACAGAACAAAATACATTAAGTTTCATTTTGAGAAACTGGAATTGGGGGGATGGTTGATGCTCTCTCTGGCTGGATTTTGCTGACATTGGGGTGTCCTAGTTAGGGAGGCGAGGAAACTGGGATATTGGCCAAGTCATGGAAGAACAAGCTGTGTAATTCACTATCCAGGCTCTAGGGAACCAGCTAGGCCTGGGGAAGTGTAGGCAGCATTGAAGCAATTTGTGAGGTTTGAATCTGGGGCTAGCTATATTGGAGCTGCCTAGGATGCGAATCCCAGGAGGGATATGTGGGCTGTTTAGTTGCTGGAGCAGTTTGTAGTTGATTTAAAATCTGCTAGGACAGATAGACAGACAAACGGTATTGGCTTTTCTTGGTTATCAACTTGACTATATTTGGCATGAACTAAAATTCAGAAATGGAAGGCATACTTGTTAGAGATATTCTGCTTGGTGTTAAGTGGGTGAATCCACTTCTAGTCTGGACCTCAGCATTCAGAAGACACAACTCTGATCTGGATCTTGAAGTGGGAAGATACAGCTAACTGCTGGAAGCCGATATAAGGGCATGGAAGAAGGAAGGTTTGGTTTTTTGCCTGCTTGCCCTCACCTTGCTACTACATACATTCCTTCACTGGCATTAAAGCCTATGTCTTCCAGATGCTATGCTAGCACACACAGAAGACCAGCTCATGAGACCCCCAGCGTAGATTCTTCTTTCTTTTCACTGCTCACCATTATTGGACTGCAGCTGGTAAGTCATTCCATTAAATTTACACACACACACACACGCACACACACACACACACACACACGAGAGAGAGAGAGAGAGAGAGAGGGAGGGAGAGAGAGAGAGAGAGAGAGAGAGAGACTCATTTCCTAATTTCTGTGACTCAAGAGAATCCTGACTTATATAAGCAATTTAGAGAAAATATTCATTTTGGGTATACATTTCAAATGTCTAGGCCCATAGCTTTAGCAGTTGGAGAAGATGGAGGAGGGGAGTCCCCAGACCAGGAAATGGGGAAAGATGTCATGTTCAGGAATAGCCAGGCTGAGAAACGATTGTTTTACAGGAGTATGCATCTGGAGTCTATTTGCCCTGTGACACATGGATCCAAGTAGATTTCTTGAAGCCTAAAAGGATTTTTTTAATTTCATAAAATGAGATAATGTCTAACCAATGTTTGTAATCAGCACTGAAATCTATTTGTAGAGAAATCAGTAGACTTATGTCTTTGGCTTAAAAGTGTTAACAGTACATTTTCTAGAGGGTTAGATACATAGATTGGACACAGATGTTTGCAGCATGATGAGAAGCATTTTTAAGTCTGTTTTTAGAAGTCAATCAAAGAAAATTTAAAAAATTGAACTTGCAATTGTAATAATAGAGGCAATAATTTTTTCACTGTCCTTTTTTATTTTAGAAGCACTCTTATTTACATATCAATCCCCCATCAATTCTCTTGCCCTCCCACCCTCCCATGCTCCCCACCAACCCCCAACACATCCCCCACCAGTTCCCCAAAGATAGTGAGGCCCTCAACTGGGTATCATCAAGGTTTATCATATCACTTTGGGGAGGGCCCACACCCTTCTTCCCATATCTTGACTACAATAGTATCTCTCCATAGGGAATTGGCTCGCAAAGTCCATTTGTATTCTAGGAACAAACACTGGCTGCACTGTTAGAGGTCCCATAGACTGCACTGGCCTCTAGCTGGCAGCCACATTCAGAGGTATTTGTTTGGTCCAATTCTGTTTCCCCAGCTTTACGACTAGGGTATCCATGCTCTCACTGGATCAGGTTAACTGTTTTAGCAGGTTTCTCCAGCACTGTCTTGGCTCCTTTGCTCATCCTCCTCTCTCTCCACAACTGGATTCCAGGAGTATGGCTCAGTGTTTAGCTGTGGGTGCATTTTTCTGCTTAGATCAGCTACTAGATGAAGGCTCTAGGAATGGCAACCAAGGTAGTCATCAATCTCATTAAAGGGGAAGAGCGTCAAAGGCAGCTTCTCCACCACTGCCTAGATTCTTAGGTGGGGTCATCACTGTGAATACCCTAACATTTCCCCTGTGTCAGACCTCTCTCCAAACCTATACTGGCTCCCTCTCTCAAGGCATCTCCTTTCTTGCCTTCCCCTATTCCTTCCCTGTCTCAGGCCTGTTCTCCTCCCCCCTCCCCTTCCCCCTCTCTCTTCTTCTCACCTCCTTCCTCTTCCCCCATGCTCCCAGTTTGCTCAGGGATTCTTGTTCCCCTTCCCTTCTTCTGGGGATCATGCGTTCTTCTCTTGGGGTCTTCTTGTTTCCTAGTTTCTCTGGTGGTGTGGATTGTAGTCTGATAGTCTTTTCTCTACTTCTAATATACATATATGAGTGAGTACATACCTTGTTTGTCTCTCTATGATTGGGTTTCTGCACTAAGGATGTTTTCTTCCAGTTCCATCCATTTGCCTTCCAATTTCAAGGTTTCATTGTTTTTTTCTTTTTGTCCACTGAATAATACTCCATTGGATGAATGTACCATGTTTTCTCCATGTATTTTTTGGTTGAGGGGCATCTGGGTTACTTCCAGGTTCTGTCTATTGCAAACAATGCTCCTATGAACATAGTTGAACATGTATACTTGTTGTTTGAATGTGGAATTGCAGGATCTTGAGGTAAACTGATTCCTGTTTTCCTGAGAAACTGACATACTGATTTCCAAAGTGGAATACAACTTTGCACTCCCAACAGGAATGAGGAAGTGTTCCTCATTTTCAACATACTCTCCAGCATAGAGTGTTTTTGATTTGGGCTGGTATAAAATGGTTTCCCAGAATTGCTTTGAATTGCAATTCCTTGATGGCTAAGGATGTTGAGTACTTCCTGAAATGTCTTTCAGTCATTTTAGATTCCTCTATTGAGAATTCTCTATTAAATTCTGTACTCCAGTTTTTAATTGGATTGTTTGGTGTTTTGGTGGCTAGCATCTTGGGTTCATTGTATATTTTGAAAATCAGTCCTCTGTCAGATGTGGGGTTGGAGAAAATCTTTTCCCATTCTGTGGGCTTCTGTTTTATCTTGCTGACTGTGTCATTTGCCTTATAGAAGCTAATCACTTTCATGAGGTTCCTTTTATTAATTGTGGATCTCAATGTCTGTGCTACTTGCATTATGTTCAGGAAGCAGTTTCCTCTAACAATTTATTCAAGCATACCTCCCACTTTTTCTTCTAAGAGGTTCAGTGTGGCTGGATTATGTTGAGGTCTTTGATCCATTTGGATTTAAGTTTTGTGCATGGTAATAGATATGGATCTATATACAGTCTTCTATATGCCTGTATCCACTTATTCCAGCACCATTTGTTGAAGATGTTTTCTCTTTTCCATTGCATAAATTTAGCTTCTTTGTCTAAAATCAGGTGTTCATAGGTGTGCATTTATATTGTTGTTTTCAACTCGATTCCATTGATCTACCTGTCTACTTTTACACCAATACCAAGATATTTTAAGGACTATGGCTTTATAATACAGTTTTAAGTCAGGGATGGTCATGCCTCCAGAAGTTTATTGTACTTTATTGTACAAGGTTGTTTTGGCTATCCTGAGTTTTTTCGTTTTTTTCTTATAAAGTTGATTATTGTTTTTTCAAGGTCTGTGAAGAATTGTGTTTGGATTTTGATGGGGATTGCATTGAATCTCTAGATTGCTTTTGGCAAGATTGCCGTTTTTACTATGTTGATCCTACCTATGCAAGAGCATGGGAGATCGGTCCATTTTCTGGCATCTTCTTCAATTTCTTTCTTTAGAGACTCAAAGTTCTTGCTATACAGGTCTTTCATTTGTTTGGTAAGCATTACCCCAAGATATTTTCTGTTGTTTGTGACTATTGTAAAGGAAGATGTATCTCTGATTTCTTTCTCAGCCCATTTATTGTCTGTATATATTAGGGATACTGATTTTTATGAGTTAATTTTGTATAATGCCACTTTGCTGAAAGTGTTTATCAGTTGTAGGAGTTCCCTTGTAGATTTTTTCAGGTCACTTATGCAAACTATCATATCATTTACAAATAATGAAAGTTTGACTTGTTTCTTTCCAAATTGTATCTCCATTGATCTCCTTTTGTTGTCTTATTGCACTAGCTAGAACTTCAATTACAATATTGAAGTGATATGGAGAGTGGACAGCCTTGTCATGTTTCTTATTTTAGAGGAATGGCATTGAGTTTCTCTTCATTTAGTTTGATATTGGCTGTCAGTTTGCTGTATATTGCTTTTATTATGTTTAGGTGTATTACTGTTATTCCCTGATCTCTGCAAGACCTTTATCAGGAAGGGGTGTTGGATTTTGTCAAAGGCTTTTTCAGCATCTAGTGAGATGATCCTATGGTTTTTCTATTTCAGTTTGTTTATATGGTGGATTACATTGATGGATTTTCATATGTTGAACCCTTTCTGCATTCCTGGGATGAAGTCTACTTGATCATGGTGGATGATTTTTCTGATGTGCTCTTGGATTCAATTTGCCAGTGTTTTGTTGAGTATTTTTGCATCAATGCTCATGAGGGATATTGGTCTGTAGTTCTCTTTCTTAGCTGTGTCTTTTTGTGGCTTGGTTACCAAGATAATTGTAGCCTTGTAAAAAGAGTTTGGCTTCTATTGTGTGGAATAATTTGAGGAGTACTGGTGTTATCTCTTTGAATTTCTGGTACAATTCTTTATTGAAACCATCTGGCCCTGGACTTTTGTTTTTTGGTTGGGAGACTTTTGATGACTACTTTTATTTCATTAGGGGTTATGGGTCTATTTAAATTGCTTCTCTGTTCTTGATTTAATTTTGGTAAGTGATACATATCCAGAAAATTGTCCATTTCCTTTAGACTTTTTAATTTTGTGGAGTACAGCTTTTCAAAGTACAACCTGAAGATTCTGTGGATTTCTTCGGTGTCCATTGTTATATCACACTTTCCATTTCTGCTTTTGTTAATTAGCATTCTCTCTCTCTCTCTCTCTCTCTCTCTCTCTCTCTCATCTCTCTCTCTCTCTCTGCCTTTTGGTTAGTTCGGATAAAGGTTTGTCTATCTTGTTGATTTTCTTGAAGAACCAATTCTTTCTTTCATTGATTCTTTGTATTGTTTTCCCTAGTTTCTATTTTATTGATTTCAGCCCTCAATTTGATTATTTCCTGGCGTCTACTCCTCCGAGATGAATTTGCTTCTTTTTGTTCTAGAGATTTCAATTGTGCTGTTAACTCTCTAGTGTAACTATTCTACAGTTTTTTCATGTGGGCACTTATTTCCATGAACTTTCCTATTAGCACTGCTTTCAAAGTGTCCCATAAGTTTGGGTATGTTTAATTCTAAGAAATATTTAACTTGTTTGTTATTTATTCCTTAACCAAGAAATGGTGCATTTGTGCATTATTCAGTTTCCATGAGTTTTTAGGTTTTCTGCAATTTGTGTTTTTGTTGAATTCTTACTTTAAACCATGGTGATCCAATAGGATACAGGTTTTTATTACAATGTTGTTGTATCTGCTGAAGTTTTCTGTGTTGCCTAGTATTTGGTCAGTTTTAGGGAAGGTTCCATGTGGCGCTGAGAAGAATATTCTTTTGTGTTTGGATGGAATGTTCTGTAGATACCTGTTAATACCAATTGGGACATAACTTCTGTTAGTTCCTTTGTTTCTTTGTTAATTTTCTGTCTGGTTGTCCTGTCTAGTGGTGAGAATGGAGTGTTGAAGTCTCTCACTAAAAGTGTGTGAGGTTATA